TGGCTATGAATAATAAAATTATGTGCTGTTTAGGTAGTCTATATCTTACTTTAAGTCTCTTGACAATGGAAATACAAAGTCTTCATTATAATAATAATAATAATAATAATAATAATAATAATAATAATAGTAATAACAACCACCCTCGGGGGGTGGTCATGGGAGCTGGATGTCATGATGCGCGAGCTGGTGGGAGGCAGAAGCACAGACGTACTGCGAAAGATGCAGAGGGCAGTGCTCTCGGGCACGCTGAATATTGCCCGGACTTTCAAGGTGGCAGTTTGAGTTCTTGTTAGAAGGAGGACCGTAGACACAACGTAAAAGCTTTTTAGGATTAGTTAATGTACATTTAGTTTTTACTCCATGGCTCACAGGTTACGGTTTTCGCCCTGTGTTGCTTGATTAGAATGTAGCATTCAGTTGAATTCTCTGCGAGAATAGTAATAATGACAATCTTTATACGGGGGAAGGGGGGGGGGACTCACGTCACTGGGGAATGGTATTCTGTGAAGCCCTGTAAATTAAAAATAAATAAAATAAAAATTATAGAAATAGAAAACAAATTACAAACATAAAAACTAAGTATTATACAGGGTGTGTAAACATGATAGAATCAGATCTCAACGCTAACTTAACTAAATACATGATTTTTCACTCGATGCTTAAAAATGAGAAAGGAGTCGATTTCTTTAATAGAAGTGTCTAAGAGATTCCATTCTCTTGCGCACACATATAAGTCTCTGTTTTCCATAGTTCGTTTTTACACGAGGGAGGCGGATAAAGGAAAGCTTAAAGGAAAGCTTCGAATCTTTCATTTTATGTACAAGATTTCAGGGAAATCTTGAGGTTTTTGTGGGTCGCGTATATTTGAGGAGGCAAATCACGCCGCAGACTGGTTCACAAATTGACGAACCACGCATTTTTGCAAAATTCACGCGTCACTTATCAATTTTGGCCGTAATCGTGCATAACATGTAAAACTTTTGTCACCCACTTTTTGTTAAAGTTGCACTTTGTTCTCCTTTTTTAATTTTATTGCTCATCAGGGGTGGAAGTGGTGGTTTGAATGTCAAGACGCAGCCTGAGTCTCGATGTCCAGAGTTGCTGGCCAATTTCTGCGACATGTTGCTTAGGAAAACGCCCTATAGCAAAAAGCTAACTTCTGATGACATCCAAGCAAAGCTGAAAGATGTTGTAAGTTATCCGTGATTTTTGCACTTGTGGAGAGTTAGAAAAAGCTGGGAAATTAAGGGTTAGCGCGCTGGACGGATTAAAATTCAAATCTGGGTATCTTTTTCTCTGTGAGAAAACAAAAATTAAAGGAGTGGCGGAGAATCATAAACACGTTTTGTTGTTCAGTGCAAAAAAGAGAAATAAATTTGTTTTTATCCTATTTTGTTTCCTCTTCAGTTGTTGGTTCTTAAGTACGTGATCAACAAAGATGTTTTCATGAGGTATGGGAGGAGTTCGATGGACTTATTTATTATTTGTGAAATGTGTTTTCAAACATTGTTCAGGTTCAAGCTATTACATATCTTTAAAACTTGAGCGCAAAGTCTCCAAGTTCTCGTTATTCTTCTTCATCTTTACTAGGATGGCGCAGTGATAAGAGCATTTTTCTCCCTCTAATGTGGCCTGGTTTGAAATACCACACCTCCCGCCGCGTAGGGACTGGGCGTTTTGTCGGTTATTGTCCCTGTTTTAATGAAACGCCATGAATTATTGGTCAGAGATGTGGTATTACTGAATTATTGTAATACGTCTTTGTACTCTGTCTGCTTCTAAGGTACCACAAAGCACACTTGACTCGGCGATTGATCCTGGATACATCAGCAGACACTGAAATGGAAGAAAACATGGTGGAGTGGCTCAGAGTAAGTCGGGCTTTGCCGCGCATGTCGCAGCACCAATGGAAACCTGATCGCAGGCTGCGAAATCTTCTCTCCCTAAGTTTCCTAGTGTTCGAACGTTCTAAATTGTAGCTTTTGTCTGAGAATCAGGTGTCGTACGATTTACGTCATACATCATTCGTGAGTACTGGAGTATTTTGAGTAACTAGATTTCAATCTCAAGCAGTGTCGTGAGTTAACAGGCGTTGATAAATTTTTGTTCCAACAGGATGTAGGAATGCCCGCCGACTATATCAACAAACTAGCCCGTATGTTCCAGGACATAAAAGTCAGCAATGATTTGAACCAAGGATTCAAGAAAGAATACCAAAATAAGGGTGATATTGCAGGTAAATTGTTGTTTATCGTCACTCTGATGCTTTTTCATCTGAGTCCGTCATTTAAACTGTGAGTATACCATGTTGGCCTACACCAAAGCGTCAAGAGGAAAAAAAAAGGCAGCGCTCCAAGCGACTGTTAGCAAAAACATTTTGGCGACATCAGTGATGATTCGTTGAAAGTGTCTGTTTACAAATGCGTTAATATATAGATTTAGCCAAGTCTAAAGGCGGAGTTCCCAAGTTCGTAGTATTAATGATAACATAAAAGATGTGCATTTGCCAAGACTCGCCTGAGACATCTCTCCCTTCGTTTTGATAGTCTCCCATACCCACCCCATGCAATCTGAAGGCACGTACGTACGTGCGTACGTACGCTCGGTCAGTCACGTGACAACCAAACGAAAAGAGGTTGACCATATTCAATGGGTATGGGGCTCTCTCTGCCCCTCGCGCGCTTCGCGCGCGTGGGAGCCCCGCTATAACAGATCGAAAGGAGTGATACTCGCAGGAGATTGTCACAGTTCGCATCGATTTCTTGTAGATACAAATACTACACTAGAGCTTGGAAACGAAGAAAAATTTTGTATTTTCTCACCTTCACCATTTTCTCATCCCTCATCATTTTCGTTCCTCTTGGTTTTAGTATTCTTGGTAAACTAGTATTTTCCGATTTCGCACGCGATGATAATTTTGGTCATCGCAGAGAGCTATCAACGAAGGTGATCGTAACCTGCTCCTTTAAAAATCTCTTGATTATAACTTGTTGGCCGAATCCCCAACAGTAATGTTTTGGGTGACGAGACAATCTTAATGGTCGTGGGATGTCTTTTCGAAACTAGCAAGAGGACGCCTTATAGATGATGACATGCCTCAAATAATTTCAGTCTTCTTGTCTCTTTCAGACTCGGTTAACATTAAGATACTGAACGCTGGTGCATGGTCAAGAGCTTCAGAGAGAATTCCTGTTTCTCTCCCAACCGACGTAAGTTTTTTAATTATTTGACACGTTTGTCGCTTTTGTTGAAATTTTGTGCGAGCCCGAGTGGCAACAGACAGATTTTGTGTATAGTATTGTTCACAGAGTACACTTGAAAACGTTGGACATAATTGATACCTTTTTTTTTTTTTTAGCTGGAAGACTATATTCCGGAGGTGGAAGAGTTCTATAGGAGGAACCACAGTGGTCGCAAATTGCAGTGGCATCATTTAATGTCTAATGGAGTTGTGAGTGAAGTCCGCGCTTCTCTTGATAAAATTTCTTGAATGTTTCGTAACCTTTCCTCGAGCTATATTTCGTATGAAGAAGAGAAATCCAAAAGTTGGCTGCCATTCGTTGGACAAGGATTTGGCGAAAGCAATAATAGTTTCCAGTTTAGGAATTTATGTTTTAAAGTATTTCCAGTGTGTATCTGCTTTTTTTCTCTCTTTCCTACTTTTTCGAAGACAAAAGATTTTTTTAAACCTCTCCGAAAGATTTTCGGAGAGATTTAAAAATTAACACTTTTGAACATGGTGCGTTTCTGTTTATATAAATCAGTTTTCAAGTTGCTCAAATAAACCTTTGTCTATTCTTCAGATAACCTTCGCCAACAGGATAGGAAAATTCGACCTGGAAGTAACAACTTTTCAAATGGCTGTTCTCTTCGCCTGGAATGAACGACCGCAAGAGAAGATTTCCTTCGAGAATTTAAGGTCAATATTTTTAGTGTAAGACTCACTAGCTTAACCTTCTACTCCCTAACATCAGTAAGCATATTCTCCATACTGTTCTCTTTACATCTCCTAAGGTGCTAACAAGGAGAGTTTGTCTAACAATCAAGAGGTTGTTTAGTTTGTGATCATTTCCTTTATTCTCATGACTTTAATGTTTGATTCAGGGGTGACATATTAAGGAGAAATTAGGTGCTAGTCATTCTTAGGATTAAAGGGTTCATGGTCAAAGTGCTGGACTGTGGATATGAATCTTCGCGTTCAAGTCGTGGTCGAGGTTGTTCCGTTGTGTTCTTGAACGAAACGATAATCTCTGATGATGCCTTCCCCATCCCACCCCCCTCCCTATCCAGGTGTATTGTTGAAGTATAACAGAATCCTGATCAATTTTAGGGCGAAGGGAAGGGGCAAGTATAGGTTTCTGTCATTTATTCTTCAGTTACCACTGAAATTCGTTGAGGATTGTTTTAGAAATTGTATCTTTTCAGTAAGTTTGCGCACGATCACAACTGTCAGCAATATCAAAACACTTTGATACTGGCTCTCGTCAATAGGGAACTTAAACAGTCAGGACGGCAACGCCAAGGAAGACTTCGATTAAAAAATAAATTTCTACTCTTAGTTAGAATTTCAAAAATAGCTACATGAGCTTACTGTCTCATACGGCGCCACA